CCCCCCCACACACACACCCTTCCTGCTACCTTTACCTTCTAAACACTCCCACTAACAAGAAAACCTCTATCACAACCAAACCCAGCAGTGTTCACCCTACAGAATCTCGTTAACTAGGCAGCCTCAATATATCTTATTACAGTTAGTGTTCCCTGATGCCCCCCCTCTCCCCTCCCCCCTGTACTGTGAAGGACAGGCACCTATTATCTCCCCAGGTCCAGGGGATGTCGTCTTACCTGATCTCATTATATCATGCCTGGTAATACCGGTAACACAATACTCTACATTCTGTATCTCTTAGTTTGGGAAGAGTCAATAAGTTCTGAACATCACTGGATTTCTTAACTTAATACAGCTGAATGATAGTTTACTTTTACCTTTTTTTCACAATTTTTTCATCATCATGAGAGATATTGTTTTGTCTGTTTTCTTTATCTTTTTATAAACTTTATAACATTCAAAATATATACATGCACACACTGGACACTGGCGTAATTATGCTATTACAAGATGTATATAAAAATGCTTTCAGAAGCACACATACAATCAGAGGAAATCAATGCTAAAATACATATATACAAACAAATATACATGCAAACATTTTCATCTTTACACACATGCACACACAAATGCATAAAAAGCACACACACTTACATACATACACAATACACTTCCCAATCCCATCAATTCAACCTGTCAACAGAGAAGATAATTCCAGTATCATACTGACAATTCAGCTAACAGATGAAATTACAAAAGACCAAACAAAAACAAACTCAACTTGAGCCTCTTTATTCATAATTTCTGTCATCTAATGAAATCTAAACAGTATGAAATTGCAGCTCCTCTTCTACAGGTCACAGTTGGTAGGTTTTGAATGGCAGGGGTCCTACCAGAAGTCATGTTCAATGGAAAATCAATTATCTGTAGAGCTGCGCTTCTATTGTGATGTGAATCCATTAGCAGTACTTGGGGAAGACAGCAGTAGCATTAAGGGATTGGTTAAGGCCCTATTTCACACAGACCACGAATCCCACGAATGGCCATGAATTGACAAATTTCACCATTCGTGGTTGAATCGTAATCAGTTCGTGAAGTTCTTAACAGATTCGTATCTATTCGTAGTCAGTTCTTGCACTTCTTGACCAACAGGAATGGGTGGCAAAAACTTTGATGCCCCTATTTCACACAGACCAAGAATCCCACGAATCGCCAGGAATTGAAAATTTGGTTGAATCATAATCAGTTCGTGAAGTTCTTTACAGATTCGTATATAATTGTAATAAGTTCTTGCAATTCTTGATCAATCGGGAATTCGTGGCAAAAATTTTGAGCTGTTCATAGTTTTGGCCACGAACTCCCGATTCCAAAAAATCGTAGTGAATTTCTGGACAATATTCGTGCGATTCCAGACGAATCCCACGAATATTCGTAACACTATCGCACCTGTATTGTAACTGAATCGTAGAGCGTGTCGAATTAGACCAGAAAATTGGCAAAATCTCACGTTTCCAGCCGAATCCCACGAATCTTCGTAACACTATCGTACCTGTATCGTAAGTGAATCGTGAGCGTGTCGAATAAGACCAGAAAATTGGCAAAATCTCACGAATGCTCACGAATCCTAAAATTTGTCAATTCCTGGCGATTCGTGGTCTGTGTGAAATAGGGCCTTTAAATAGGGGGAGAAGGAAGACACCCTCTGTAGACGGTCATTTGGTTGTGTGTGCACAGTGTGTAAATTCAATAAAAATTTTTCCATAAATATATTTAGTCAAATTCTGCCTTTGATAAAATTATTATTCATTTGATTCTATCTGGAGAGTGATGTTTTGAAATGATCACAGAAAGCTTATGTATCTTTTCAGTATAAAAACTACTCATAAAATTTCAAGACATCACCTTTGATTGAGAAGACATTGGGAAAAGTATGATTTACATTTCATCAAATTCAACAATTTACATAAATAATTGCATTGCATCAATTTGACTGTTATGACTACCACCAAGCTAAACAAAGTAACATTCAACCCAATTTCCTTTCTTTCTTTTAGAAAACTTCAAGTACAAAGTAGAAACACTCACAGTCAGTGCATTAATCCAAACTCAAAAACAAAATTCACCCTAGATTCTTTTTCTTCTGATTAAAGAAAAGAAAACACAACTCCACTCACAAGTGTACCCTCTTCATAAAAAGTTAAACCCCTGTAGGAGAGGGTACATACCAGAACCACTTGTTTCTTGCAGTAGTAAAAAAAAAGGCTGGACTGACATCCTACAGCTGCAATCTTCTTACTGAAGATATCAAGTGAACACACAAGACAGGACAGCAAAAAGTTTTTTCTTGTGTTTTTTATGGCATGTTAAGCCAGGTGAGGAAGGAAGGAACAGACAGGTGGACAGCTTTATGTGGACATTATTTCTGTTCATTTGTTACAAGCTTGTCACTGAGGAGCAGTCTGCCACTAAGAAACAGTTTGCTAGGGAGTAGCAATTTCCCACTGAGGAGCAGTTTGCCCCTGATGAACAGTTTGCCAGCAAGGAGCAGTTTGCCACTGAGGAGTAGTTTGCCACTGAGGAGCAGTTTGCCACTGGGCAGCAGTTTGCTACTGGGCAGCAGTTTGCCACTGAGGAGCAGTTTGCCACTGGGCAGCAGTTTGCCACTGAGGAGCAGGTTGCCACTGGGCAGCAGTTTGCCACTGAGGAGGTTTGCTGCTGGGCAGCAGTTTGCCACTGAGGAGCAGTTTGCTAATGAGGAGCAGTTTGCCACTGAGGATAAGTTTGTCATTGAGGATAGGTTTGCTACTGAGATACAGTTTGCCATTGAAGAGCAGTTTGCCATTGAAAAGGAGTTTGCCAATGAGGAGCAGTTTGCCACTGGGCTGGGTTGTATTTTGACTTTGGACTAGCTCTAACATATTATATTTAAGTCACTCTGCCACGCACAAAAAAAAAAAAGAATAGAAATATTCATCTATTACAAGTGAAATGAAAAACAGGCACATCTCAATTTCGTTGCAATAACTCTATAGCTAGGCTTTTACCAATATAAGTCACTACTAGACTTCTATTTTACTGTGATAATAGTGTTAAACCTGGCATTTATTTGTCATTAATAAAAAGCAGCCAATTTTCAGCAAGTTTAAATAAAGTTTTTATTAATCTCATTCTGTATGCATGCTATAAGCAGTAGTCCATGCATTTAACTGCCAACATACATGCCAGCAACAAATAAATCCATTCTTAATTTTGAAAATTTGTGTGCATGCATTTTTTTTTATCTTATCCAAACCACAGTCACGCATACAAATTCAACTGTCTGCTTACGTGCTGCGACCAAATTGGTCAGTTAAAATATTTTGCTTGGGTGTGAAGAAATATGTTGCATATTTCATATGCTGGGCACAGTATTTGTTGACATGCAAAAGCAAGGGAAAAATCATCACCTTTTCTTTTATCAAACCATTGTTTGTTCAGATGCTCACAATAAGTTCTATAGACCATAATCACCATCTCATTTCCCTGTACACTGGCTAAATGATCAATCAATTCTGTATTGAGTTTCATAAAGCATGTTATGTTGACAAGTTTGGAAGACTTGATCCAACAATCTTGAAATGTGTGACATATTAACATCATAATCACGTGGCATTTTCTGCAGCAAGGTTTCAGCAAAGCTGGAAGCATATTCAGATATTGTTGGGTTTTATCAATGTGTAGACAAGAGTTGACATTATCATCTCCCCCCCCCCCACCCCTTCCCCTTTCCTCTCCCACCCACTTTTCCCTTCACCCCTAACTCCTCCCCTCACCCCTCCCTTCCCACATCTCCTCCTCCTCCCTTCACCCCCTCCTTTCCTCATCTCTTCCCTCCTCTTCTCACCCCCTCCTTTCCTCATCTCTTCCCTCCTCTTCTCACCCCC